CCTGAACCAGGTAATTGAGGGGTTTAGGTCAGGTGACCTGCTTCAGATATTCCATCTTCTTCAGGTACTCAACGCCCTTCCATTCCAACCAGGCGAGATTTTTTCCAACGCCCCTGGTGTCACCCAATCCTGTAGCAGTACAAAGTTTCCAAGAAGGTACGGGCGACGACATGTGGGGAGGATATTCTTCTCGAGTTGCTCGATGTAACCGCCAGCGCTCACCTTCAGTCCGGGGTCCACGAAAAATATCGGTCTTTCCATTCCAGGTACGTCCGGTCCATACCATCAACCCGCGCCTTGGCGACTGCGGTGAAGATGATGTCCTAGACCGTAGCGACGTTGTCGGAGCTGCTCGATGTTGGAGGTCTTCCAGATCGAGAGTACTGGTCTCCAGGTAGCTATCCATGGGTGACTCCATACTAGAAGTTTCGCAGCTGTTTGGAGGTGACATGAATTCCAAAGGGCTGCGACTGGAGATGACTTCATATTTTGGTGTACATGAAGGTGATGGGCGAGAGCCAGCTCCTGCTTATCGAGGACATCTTGGGTATCTTCCAGCCCTGCTTATCGGGGAACTTCCGCCCTGGTACTCGTATCCACGTCCTCTGTCTGGGCTGCGAAAACTTTGCTGATATGTGACTCGGTCGAAGTGTCTTTTTTTGCCCCCCCCCCCTGTACATTAAATCCAATCGAGCAAATGTTGGCCATTGCGGACCTACGTGCTGCCATCTTCGAGGCGCATTCCTCGACCACTTGAGGATATACAAGTAGCGTAGATCCGCAACTACTTATGGAGTATCACTCTCAGTAAAAGGTGAGAGGGATGGTGAGGGCACCTGGGGATCGCATTGGCTGTAAATTAATCGGGCTTTGATTGGGGATGTTTTCAACAATTTCTTCTGCTAATCTCTGTGCTGCAAAATACATCGCCCCTCCATGTTCATGAGCGGACCCCACCACGCACTACTATTAAAGCAGTTTGATGGTAATCAATGAAAAGGAATCAATGAAAATTTTATAAGCCGAAAGAGCGCGTCAAGCCCACGGTAAAAACTACAGAAATGAGCTAGTTGAATATAACATCTTACCCATCGCTCGGTTGAGGAGACTTGGCGGAATACTCTTGTGGACTCTGTTCACCTTTTTTGTTCAGATCTCCGTCCTAAGAAGTTTCAAGAATGATTCCCTAGGTCAACAAAACTACATCTTCAAAAGATAACATTTTCCTGTT